GAAAGAATTTTAACCTGATGGATAAATTTCTTCATCGCTAATTCCTTCATCAGTTGTTTGCATAGCCCAAATAATCTCAAATTTTTCGGAAACACATATAACATAAATGAGGAAAACTGCTATTTGAAACATTTTGAAATGAGAATAATAATTAAAAATGATAAAATGCAAAAGTTTTTATTTCATTTATATTATGCAAAATTTTCGAGATATCTGTATTTTTCTTTTTTTCAACAATAAAAAAGGAAAAAATTTTCATTAATTGTTATTTTTCAATTTCATAGTAAAAAAAATAAAATTGAGGGACAAATAATAAAGCGAAGGACAATTTTTTCTTTTTGTTTTTGTTTTTTTTTTGTAACAATTTTTGACAATTTTAATCATTTATTTTATCATATTTCATATTTCCTATATATCTTTAATCATATTTGCTATTATTGAAATAGGAAAATTCATTCAATTTATTAGGTTATTGTTTGTTTCTTTGTTTGTTTGTTTGCCTTTTTCTCTTGTTTTAATTTTTTATTTAAATTTTAATTTGAGGAATCCTGTTAAATTTTTTGTTCATTAAATTCTTCAGGTTTAATTGTTTATCTTAAGAATACATTAGAAAAGATTCATCCTTTCAATATATTTTGTAATAAGAAATTTTAAAAAACTAAAAAAAAGAAACAATTGAAACATGGAAAATTTAACATAAAAGAAAAAAGCGGAGCAATACTGTAGCATATGATACATAGCCAGATTTTACTGTATCAATACAATCATATTTGTTATCATGAAAATGATAACAAATACCATTTCATTTAAACATTTAAATTATAGATAGCATATATAATAATAAACCAGATGTAAATGATTATTAAATTATCATATTAACAATGTTTCTTAAAAATTTTTGCTAATTAACAAATTAATTTCACTAATATAAATTCTGCGATTCATTATAATTTGCCATAATTTTTAAGAAAAAATAAGAAAAATATTGCCGAATATTGTAAAGAATTGCCTTATAAATTATAGTGATAAAGGAATTATTATAAAATGAAAAAAAAAAAAAATTATAACATTTCCTGCAAATTTGTACTAAACAAAAAATATATGGCATTATAAAATTTAAGTGATAAGATCAAAGCTGATGATTGTTGGAGAGTGCACGGGAAACCAATATATTTATCACTTGTGATAAATGAATAATAAATGTGATAGAATGTTCGTCCAATCAATAGCCGTGAATTAATTGTAGTGAAGTAATTAAGTACCAAAACATTTTGTACATATTTGTTTACAGCATAGAACTGACGAAAGGAAATTAAGTATTGCTGAAATTAATATATATATACATATATATAGTACTATAAAATTTAAATGATAAAATAATAATGATATTGGTAATGGATATTCCATGGAGGATATAATTTAGAAATCAATATTTCGTTAACCTGGAAATAACTTACTTTTACCTAACAGTAACGTGAGCAATACTACTACTACGACATGGAAAAAAGAATAATTTAGGACATTTATGAAAAAAATGTCACATAATACTAGTCATCAAAAGCTTCCAATTATTAATTTAGCTAAATTGATCATTAATTAGATTATCGAACGATTTAATTAAATGTAATGCGCATAAAAATTTGTTAAAAAAATCCACCAAAATACTAAAAAAAAGGAAACACTAAAACTAAAATCCAAAATATCCGTATTAGAAGAAATATTAGAAATTATTAAGAAAGTAAATGAATATAACATTTAATAACTATGCAAAAGTTAAATTCTAATTTATTTTTTTACTTTTTTCTTTTTAAGAAGTTAATATCTAGCAATTAGCTAATACTAGCTAATTAGCTAATACTAAATGATATGAATTTATTTGTATCGCTAGAAATGATCCTAATAATTCTATCAATTATGCATAACTTTATGCTAATAATGTTAAATTTAAAAATAAATATTTATTATATAATATTCAAAAATTTAAATTCCTCAATATTTCAAAATTTACATCAAAAAATAATTTTAAAAATGAATTAAAATAAAGAAATGGAAAAAAAAAAAAAACCGAACCTTCAATGATAGCAATGATAAATTGTATACTGTTGATGCTAATACCTAATTTAAGTTGAAATAAACATTGTCTAAAATCATAACGATTCATCTGTGCCAGAATATATCGCATTCGAGTAGCATCATATTCACCGATCATACAAAATGCTTGATTACGATCAATTTTTGGATGTTGATAAGTACCGATCAAAAACCAATTCCTGTAATAACTTTTTGAGATACAGTAATTTATTGTGCTCATCATAACATTTCTCTTAATTTATAGCAACAAAATATTACAAATAAAATTACTTTGAAGATATTTATTAATAGTAATTATGATGTTCATACTTCGAATCCGAAAATTATTTCAAATTTGAAATTTTTTCAAAAATAAATTTCGACCATCTTTTGAAGAAATAAATTTCGACCCTTTTTTTTTTTCAATTTGAAATTTCTTCAGAAACAACCTAATTTCTAAAAGAATATTTTGATGATAATATTATGTGATGCGTTTATTTATTAATTATTATTAATAAACATATTATATGATAATAATTTTATCGTTACGAATCAAAATATATTTACTGAGAATATGTAATATTAATTTTAGTACATTAATTAATTACACATTATATGTATATTAATTAATTACATATTATTTGTTAATTAATTACATATTCGATAGTTTTTTTCTTTTTAAACAAATTTTGACTATATATTTTTCATTTAAAGATTTTTTACTTACCTAGCGGAGATTGTAGCACTGATAGCACCTAGCATTAAGGCAATTAATGAGAGCACCAAATATGCAACAAATAGATTTACGATACAACGTTTTGCAGCTGCAATACCAACCAAAGCATTTACGACAAATACGCTTGATGTCCAAATGGCGGAATAGTATGGACAATATGCAAATGAATCGTATAAGCACCAAATACCACCAGTTAGCATAAAAACTGAAATGTCTTATATTTATTTTTCCATTATTTCTTCTTTTACCTTTTGCCTTCTTTTTTTTTTTTTTAGAATTTACTCAACAAATATGTTTGATCAACATATAGTTGAAGTTTTAATTGTTGAACAATTAAAGCATAAATAAATTTGAATCGAAGCAATTACAATTTCGTTTTTTTTTTTTTTTTTTCTATCTGTTCAATCAATTTTATTGCATCTTAGGATTTTTCAACATATCATATTTCATGCTGACATGATGACATAAAAATGTCAACAAGGCTAACACTCTATGTGAGTATTAAAACTGACTTCAACAAGCTAACCATTCAAAGAATTGAATTTAATTTACCATTACATAACTTTTTAAGAGGCAATTTTAATTCATATTCAGCAAATTTATTTATGTTTTAGTTATTTAGCAAATTAAACTACAACTATATGGCTTATATTTGTTAAATAAATTCAAAATTTGCAAAACTTTTAAATATCAAAAAGTAAAAAAAAAAAACTTGATTTATTTAATCAGTATATTATGGCACGACCTACGATTTAAATTTTACAGGAAAAACTATTGATTTTGAAATATAATTAATTTGAATATAATTAAAAATAAAAGAATGTGATTAAATTCTGAATATGATTTAAAAAAAAAAAGTATATACTGTTCATATAATATTTCGAAAAAATTTATAATATTTAAAATCAAATTTACGTATTTGATTTGCATTTTTCTTTTTTTTCAAAAATTTGTTCAAAAGTTTATTCAAAAGAATTTGTTCTCAGTTTTTTTTTTTGTCTCTTCAATAATACTTACTTAAAATTACTTAAAATATTAGGAAGAAATATTTCTGAATAAATTATACTTGCAATTATTCCTTCAAATAATGCAATTTTAAACATCATATTTGTATCATATCGTCGTAATTGTCGTGATTTTCCGTTCTCATTTCTTGAAATTCTTGTCAAAAATGGTTTCGTATATTCTGAATGTTGTAGAAGTGGCGGACTGTATGGTGGCGGATTATGTTCCATTGCGATGGAAGAAGATGAATTATCGTAATTCTAATAAAATCTAATTATAAGTAAAAGCATACATATGTGTATACGTATAAATAAATACACGCAAACGTACAAATAAATGTGCATGAATACGTACGTGTAAATATAAACAAAAACACGTACATATAAAATTAAAATATACAAAATAATCAAAGAAAAATTAAACCAAAAAAGTAATTATGAGTTGTTTTCTCACATAATTTTACTACTGCAATAGAAATTAATTCTTTGTTACTTCACCGCTAATCATTATTTATTTAATTCAATGACTTAACTCAGTCGTTAATTAATCAACCAATTAATTAATCGAAATAGCTAAAACAATTTAGATTAATTTTTACTAAATTTTTATTCACAAGTTTAAAATTTTTCAAATATGAAATTTTCAAAATTGTATTAAGCAATAATTGGTATTGTTAAAAAAAGCTTATCAGTTGATTAATCTAAATCATATGAATGATTACTTCAATTATTGGTGCTGTTGGTATCGGAGAACATCGAATAGTATTGAAATTCGTTTGTCGATTGCTATTTAGCATATTTTCGCATTCGTATAATTTGACAATTTTTTCGTTCATTACGAATTTCTTACAAAATGTTTAACATTTTGCGAAATGGAACAAATCCAATCTTTTATTCATACCTGAAAATTTTAAATTTAATTTCTTATTGTAAAGAAAAAAAGAAAGAGCAAATTTTCGAACGTTCAATAATTATAAACTTAAAACCGATATTAGGATTTAATTTAATTTAATATACTTTCATTAATTCCCACTCAATTCCTGATTATTTGCTTTAATCGTATATCGAATTATCTATCCATCTGATAATAAATTTGTTGGGAAAGAATTTTTACAATCAATTAATATAAAATCATATTCACAATCAAATATTAAATGAATATAATTTTTGAAACTAATAATGAATTACAAAATAATACAAATATTGAAAAAAGCCATCTGTCCACATACTAACGCCAAACAGATGGGCATACACACACATACACACACACGTACACACACATATACACACACATACACAGACATACACACATATATATATACACAAATACAGGAATGCAAGAAGGAAACCCAGAAATACATACATACATACATACATACATACATACACACATACATACATACATACATACACACATATATACATACGTACATACATACATACATACACACACACACACATATACACACACATACATACACGCGCGCATAAGCATATACATGCATACACATACGCACGCTTGCACACATACGCATACACATACACAGATACACATACATGTGCACACGTACAAATACACATACACATGTTCATACATAATACACAGATACACACATATACGTACATGAACAAATACATAGGCACTTACAATACACATACATTAGCATACACATCACGCACCATACACACATACACGCATACACATATATACACCTACGCACACATACATACATGCATACATAAGCACGCACATATAC